AACAACTCTTCCATTCACTGGAACTGTGGCTAATACTTTTCAAGAACTGGGTGTCATGGGGCCATTATTATGAAAAGAAGTACAGGTCCCCTAGCCTTAGAGAAGTGTTGATGTTGAAAAAAACTAAAAACTTTGCCCCACATCCCAAACCAAATAACATTTATAAGGGGATTAGACCTATTGCTTTTCCATAACACATTCAGCCTTTCTCCACAAATCATAAAATAAGAGTGCAGAATATCATCTCTGGAGGAGGTATCATGGGGTTGGCATCTCAGAGCCCTGTATAAAAGAACTCTATTAAAAAAATTATCCAAAGACACAAGATCTAAAAAAGCAGAAGGCGCAATATCAAGAGTTATAGGCAAAGGAAATGAGATGTTTATAGATGAATTTTGAAGAAAGGTAGAGTAGATTAGGCAGAAAGAGGGAGAAGAAATTTGTCAGAGGTAGGAACAAATGATGTTTCACTCCCCTGTGGTGGTCAGATTGTGTGAAGTATCAGAAGCGGCTGTTGCTAATAATAGTGGCTGATGTGCATCTCTTCTCTCAACGTAATTTTGCATACTGCCTTAGATTACCACACATTGTTTTTATTCAGCATTGACATTGCAATTGCAGTGTTACACCCTGACCCTGCTTTTGTGGGGCATTGTTTGCTCCACAAGTTTGCTACATGTTTTTTAATGGTATTTTTAAAACAGTTCAGTCTAACATTTTTTTTCTGGCCATTGTGAATCAGGCAAGGCACATGAGGACTTCAAATTAGGTTGGGTAACTACTGAATTTGATGGAATTAAACAAGGGATAAATTTGGCACACTGTGACATTTCTCTCTCTCGCTTATTCTGGACTGTATCTGATGCTTCTTCCAGAAATTATTTGTCTGAGGGCGCAGACATTTACCATACGTGTAGTTTGACATCTATATTTAAGGAGGGGCCGCTCCAGCCAGGCCAACGGGGACGCATGTGTGTGTGTGGCAAATTCCGTGCCTGCCCACAGGGGTGCCATTTCAGATTTGGGGGGGGGGGAGGGGCGCGAGAGCAGTGTCAACTTTAACTGTAATTCCAGGGGCTACTTAGGCAACTGAATACTCTTGTATTTTGGCAGATAATAACTTAGAAATTATCTGACAGGAGCACTGTATCTAATTCCTATATCAAGAAAGAAAATTAAATAAATATTAGACCCACTCAGCTCTAATACTAATGTGTTCTGACCAGTGTTCCCTCTAATTTTTTACGTCCATGTGCGGAATGAATTTTGTTATGTGCATCAATATGGAGGTGCACCTTCATATTGGTGCACATAACAAATTCATGTGCTGGGGGTGGAGCCGAGGGGTTTGGAGTGCAGGAGGGGGCTCAGGGCTGGGGCAGAGGGCTCCGGGATGAGGGCTCTGGCTGGGGTGCAGGCTCTGAGGTTGGGCTGGGGATGAGGGGTTTGGGGTGCAGGAGGGGGCACAGGGTTGGGGCAGGGGGTGAGGGGTCCAGCTAGGGGTGAAGGCTCTGGGGTGGGGCCTGGGATGAGAGGTTTGGGGTGCAGGAGGGAGCTTAGGGCTGGGGCAGAGGGTTAGGGTGCAGTGGGGCGTGGGCTCTGGGATGCGGCTGGGGATGAGGGGTTTGGGGTGCAGGCTGCCCCGGGGCTGTGGTGGGGGGAGAGGACTCCCCCCAGCTCTCTCCCCGGCTGCGGCAGCTCCGGCGGTGCTGGGCTGGGCTGAGGAAGGGGCTCCTCTCCCCGGCAGCTCCGGCGGTGCTGGGCTGGGCTGAGGGCTCCTCCCCCAGCTGTGGCAAGTCCGGGGCAGGTCCGTGCTAGGGCCAGCAGGGAGAGATGCCGGTTCTGACATTTTGTGGCAAGTTACTTAAGGGACACTGGTTAGATTTAAAACTTTTAATGTATATTCTTACTCAGATACTCTTACCAGGGGCGGCGCTAGCTTTTTTGCTGCCCCAAGCACGGCAGGCAGGCTGCCTTCGGGGGCTTGCCTGCGGGAGATCCCCTGTCCCGCGGATTTGGCGTACCCCCCGCAGGCATGCTGCCGAAAGCTGCCTGACTGCCACCCTCACAGGGACCGGCAGAGTGCCCCCCGTGGCTTGCAGTCCCAGGCACACGCTTGGTGCGCTGGTGCCTGGAGCCGCCGCTGACTCTTACTAAAGTCAGAAGGGACCATCATGGTCATCTAGTCTAACCTTCTGCACATTGCAGGCCACAGAACCTCATCCACTCACTCCTGTAATAGAACTGTAGCCTCTGGCTGAGTTACTGAAGTCCTCAAATCATGGTTTAAAGCAGGGGTTGGCAACCTTCGGCACGTGGCCCATCAGGGTAATCCACTGGCAGGCTGCGAGACATTTTGTTTACGTTGACTGTCCTCAGGCACGCCGCCCGCAGCTTCCAGTGGCCGCGGTTTGCCGTTCCCGGCCAACGGGAGCTGCGGGAAGCGGTGCAGGCTGCAGGGACCTGGTTTAAAGACTTCAAGTTACAGAAAATTCACCATTTATGTTAGTTTAAATGTGCAAGTTACCCATGCCCCGTGCTGCAGAGGAAGGCGAAAAACCCACAAGGTCTCTGCCAATCTGACCTGGGGAAGAATTCCTTCCTGTCCACAGATATGGTGATCAGTCAGACCCTGAGCATGTGAGCAAAACCCACCAGATACCTGGTAAAGAATTCTCTGCAGTAACTCAGAGCCCTCCATATCTCATGTCCCTTCTCCAGCTGTTGGGGATTTTTGTTACAGGCAGTCACGGATGGGCCACACGCCATTGTAGGCAGTCCTGTCATACCAGCCCCTCCAGAAACTTATCAAGCTCAGTCTTGATGCTAGATAGGTTTTTTGCCCCCACTGCTCCCCTTGGGAGGCTGCTCTAGAACTTCACTCCTCCGATGGTTAGAAACCTTTGCCTAATTTCAAGCCTAAACTTGTTGATGGCCAGTTCATATCCATTTGTTCTGGGGTCCACATTGGTGCTTAATTTAAATAACTCCTCTCCCTCCCTCCTATTTATTCCTCTGATGTATTTATAGGGAGCAATCATACCTCCCCTCAGCCTTCTTTTGGTTAGGCTAAACAAGTCAAGCTCTTTGAGTCTCCTTTCATAAGGTAGGTTTTCCATTCCTCAGATCATCCTAGTAGCCTCTCTCTGCGTCTGTTCCAGTTTGAATTCATCTTTTGTAAACATGGGAGACCAGAATTGCATACTGTATTCCAGATGAGGTCTCACCAGTGCTCTGTATAATGGTAGTAACACTTCCCTGTTTCTACTGTGCTTCTACTTGCCTGAAGCACACTTGGACTGCATTAGCCTTTTTCAAGGCTGCATCACATTGACGGTTCATATTCATCCTGTGATCAACCAGCACATCCAGGTCTTTCTCCTCCTCTGTCACTTCCAACTGATAAGTCCCCAGTTTATAGCAAAAATTCTTGTTGTTAATCCCTAAATGCATGACTTTGTACTACTAAATATCATCCCATTTCTATTACTCCAGTTTATAATGTCATCCAGATCTTCTTTTATATTTCAATCCTCCTCTGTATTGGCAATACCTCACAACTTTGTGTCATCCGGAAATTTTATTAGCACACTCCCACTTTTTGTGCCAAGGTCAATAATAAAAATGTTAAATAAGATTGATCCCAAGACTGATCCCTGAGGAACTCCACTAGTAACCTCTCTCTAGCCTTACAGTTCATCTTTCAGTATGACCTATTGTAGTCTCCTCTTCAACCAGTTCCTGTTCACCTTTCAGTGCTCATATTAATCCCCATCTTCTCCAGTTTAACTAATAATTTATCATGTGTAACTGTATCAAGTGCCTTACTGACATCCAGGTAGATTAGATCTACTGCATTTCTTTTGTCTAAAAAATCAGTTATCTTCTTAAAGAAAGATTTTAGTAACTTTGTTACTACTTCCTGAATACATCATAGAATATCAGGGTTGGAAGGGACCTCAGGAGGTCATCTAGTCTAACCCCCTGCTCAAGGCAGGACCAATTCCCAACTAAATCATCCCAGCCAGGGCTTTGTCAAGCCTGACCTTAAAAACCTCTAACAAAGGAGATTCCGCCACCTCCCTAGATAACCCATTCCAGTGCTTCACCACCTTCCTAGTGAAAAAGTTTTTCCTAATATCCAACCTAAACCTCCCCCACTGCAACTTGAGACCATTACTCCTTGTTCTGTCACCTGGTACCATTGAGAACAGTCTATGATCCATCCTCTTTGGAACCCCCTTTCAGGTAGTTGAAAGCAGCTATCAAATCCCCCCTCATTCTTCTCTTCTGCAGACTAAATAATCCCAGTTCCCTCAGCCTCTCCTCATAAGTTATGTGCTCCAGCCCCCTAATAATTTTCATTGCCCTCCGCTGGACTCTTTTCAATTTTTCCACATCCTTCTTGTAGTGTGGGGCCCAAAACCGGACACAGTACTCCAGATGAGGCCTCACCAATGCCAAATAGAGGGGAATGATCACGTCCCTCGATCTGCTGGCAATGCTCCTACTTATACAGCCCAAAATGCCATTAGCCTTCTTGGCAACAAGGGCACACTGTTGACTCCTATCCAGCGTCTCGTCCACTGTAACCCCTAGATCCTTTTCTGCAGAACTGCTGCCTATTACTTTCTATCATTTAGGCTTACTTTTTGCAGTTCACCAAACTTGGAACAGATCATTTAACTTTAGGAAACATCCTAACAGCCCTTTCTTATCATAATCGCCTGTTAATCAGTCTCTTTATAAACAAAATTCTGACTCCCTGCCTCAGGGGTGCAAGCTGGGAGCAGCACATCTCCTTTCTCCTCTGCTGAATTCATTGCATTGCACACTCTGGCTGCCAGCCTGAGGCTTGCAATTTTTGGGGGGAGGGGCAATGCCCCAGCCATACCCCCCCAAACATCACCTATGATGTTTACATTGTTTTGTTTTGTTACTGTTATAAACTTGCCATGGGCATTGGTCTTAATTTCTAATGCTTAGAATTTGTCTTACAGGTGCAGATTCACTCTACAGAAACAGTTTTAGCTTCAGTGATGAAAAACTTAACTCTCCAACAATGTCAATTCCAACTCCAACTTTACCATCTCCAGCAGTAACTCCTTGTAAAGGTAAATCTCATAGTAACTTTATTTTAAATGTTTAAGTTTCTTCTGAACTCTGAGTGGTGCAGACTCATCTCTGTCAAATGTTAATCTACTGATATTTAAGATGTGAACAAACTCCTGAGTGTTAGTATTAAGACTACTTCAAACATAAGTCCTACTAGTATCTGTGCTAAACACAATGGCACATTAGGTGCAATGTCTGCAATAACCAGTGGTTCATAGGTGGGCCTGCTAACTGTATTAGCTATGAATCTACAGCATTAAAGGAAACATTAGTTTTTGGCTGATCTAAAATTGTGATGTGTTTTACTAAATACTTCCTTGAATGGTTTTATTTTCACTGTAGAGAACTCATGTTACAACTTGAATGTACACAAAAACGCTTAACTTGAGTGCAGGGGTGCTTTTAATGTGAGTTGTCTGGCCTGTCATGGCAGATGTGCTAACTCAAGCTGTAGCCTAACTTGTCAGCTGCTGACACAATCACTCTTTGCAGTGTCACTGGTCTCACTTGACCTAGGCTAACTTGAGAAGCCTTAACTTGAGCGCAGATAACTCGAGTTACCTTACGTCTTTTCTGAAGAGTGATGTCTGCACTGCAGCTGGGAGTATGCTTCCCAGTGGGGATAGGCAGACTTGTGCTAGCTCTGCTCGTGCTAGCATGCTAAAAATAGCAGAGTGCCAAAGTGGTCCAGCTAGTGGCTCGGGCTGGCCAACTGAGTTTGTTCTCAAGGGGCTAGCCTGAGCCATGCCGCCATGGTCATGCTGCTATTTTAAGGCAGTAGAGCGAGCAGAGCTAGCATGGATCAATCTGTCCATGCTGGGAACCACACTCCCAACTGCAGTGTAGACATACTCTAAGCCAATGAAAGGAACAGGCATATATCCATGCTACACAGAGCTTTCACATACAGTAGCACCTCAGAGTTACGAACTGACCGGTCAACCACACACCTCATTTGGAACCGGAAGTACGCAATCAGACAGCAGAGACCGAAAAAAAAAGAAAGGAAAAAAAACAAATACTGTGCAGTACTGTGTTAAATGTAAACTACTAATAAATAAAGGGGAAGTTTAAAAAAAGATTTGCTAAGGTAAAGAAACTGTTTCTGTGCTCATTTCATTTAAATTAAGATGGTTAAAAGCAGCATTTTTCTTCTGCATAGTAAAGTTTCAAAGCTATATTAAGTCAATGTTCAGTTGTAAACTTTTGAAAGAACAACCATAATGTTTTGTTCAGAGTTACATACAACCTCCATTCCCAAGGTGTTCATAACTCTGAGGTTCTACTGTACTTGCTCAAGTATTTTTCCCACCTTCATTTATATTATCTGCATACATGTATGGAGACCTACTATCACATTCCAGGGTGCAATCCAGACCAGTGAGGGGTTGTCACCACCTGCCCCACAACCTTGGGTGCCTCACAATGCTAGCTGTTGTAGCTCCCCACTGGGTGCTCACAAACAGTCTGCCAGCATGCAAGTCGCACCCTGAGTGTTTGTGTATAGCAGGGATCAGCAACCTCTGGCACACAGCTTGCCAGGATAAGCACCCTGGCGGGCCGGGCCAGTTTGTTTACCTGCTGCGTCTGCAGGTTTGGCTGATCGCGGCTCCCACTGGCCGCAGTTCGCCATCCCAGGCCAATGGGAGTGGCGGGAAGCGGCGCAGGCCTAGGGATGTGCTGGCCCTGGTCCAGCAGCTCTGCTCCAAGTAGCCTGTCAGTCACACTCTGGCTTCCACAAGCCTTGGTTACTACTTGCATCCCCAATACACTCCCAGATCTGAATTTTCCCAGACACCTGTGGTCTGCACTGTCCAAACCTCTCCTGGACAGTTCAGATATTAAAGGTCTGTTGCCCCTGTAACGGTCAATATTAAAGTTTACTGCTTTACCTGGAGTTAACAAACAGTTCAGTTTAAACACAACACTGGATTAGTTTAGATTAAAAATAAAACAAGTTCATTTAACTACAAAGAGAGTTTTAAGTGAGTACAAATATATGGTATTAAATTCAGAAATGGTTACAAGAGAAATAAAGATAAAACACTTTCTAGTAGCTAAAACATAACAAGCTAGACTTGGTTTAAGGTAAAATCCTTATCACAGGTTCCAAGCAACATGGTTGAGCAACTTCTCAGGTCAGGATCTCATCGCAAAGTCTTAGGTGAAAGAGAGAGTCTGGGGTGTTTTTGCCCCTCACTTTTATAGTCCAGTCACCCTTTGAAATGCAAATTTCTGAGGATTACCCATAGATAAAGTTCATTCCAGCTGTGAGGAAGCAGACATAGAGTCTCATGGGGAAAGAAGTTCCATGCTGTTGTTTGCTAAAAGGCAGATCGATCTGTTCCTGCTTCCCTTCATTTGCCAAAGAATAGCTACTTGACCGGTGATTGCCAATCAACTTTGATGACACCTGGCTAGAGGTGTCAGCTTGTCCTTTATATTTGAGAAACCAGTTTACTCCTTTCCTTGACTTGTCTGGTAAACACACTGTAGTCATAATTTCAGTTTATGTTCATAACTCTTAGTACGCATTTCGTACACACGTTACACAAGAATATAAATGATCAGTGTGTTTTTAGTTTTTAAATGATACGGTAACTCCTCACTTAAAGTCGTCCCGGTTAACGTTGTTTTGTTGTTACGTTGCTGATCAATTAGGGAACATACTCTTTTAAAGTTGTGCAATGCTCCCTTCTAACGTCGTTTGGCAGCCGCCTGCTTTGTCCACTGCTTGCAGGAAGAGCAGCCCGTTGCAGCTAGCTGGTGGGGGCTTGGAACCAGGGTGGACCGGCAGCCCCCCCATCAGCTTTCCGCTCCCCTAAATTCCCTGTGCTGCAGCTGCCCAGCAGGCTAGCAATTGCAGCTGTCCCTCCCCCCACTGCCATGTGCTGCTCCTGCCCTCTGTCTTGGAGCTGCTCCCAGAGACTCCTGTTTGCTGTGCAGGGGGGGGAAGAGAGGGGACTAATGTCAGGGTGTCCCCCTCCCCCCTGCTCCTGCACCCCACTTACCCCTTCTCCATATAGAGCAGGGAGGGGACACAGACAGAGAGAGAGCTTGGGGCAGCAGCTGCTGTCTCAACTTCCTGATCCACTTAAAAAGACAATGCACTTAAGAATGGCTCAGTTTACTTAAAGGGGCAGTGTGCATCTCTCTCTCTCTCTCTCTCCCCCACACACAAGGTGTGTGTCTGTCTCTGTCTGCTATGCTGTCTCCCCTCCCTCGTGTTCGTGCTGTCTTGTGTGAGAGGCTACTGAGGGCTCAGCCGAGTGCTAGTTCATCATTTAGCAGCAAGGCATTCCCTGGGAAATATCCCTCCCTCTTTCACCCTCTAACTTCACCACCTCAACCAAGCTTCACAATCATCATAGCTGTGAACAGTATTAAATTGTTTGTTTAAAACGTATACTGTGTGTATATCTATATAATCTATAGTTTTTTGTCTGTTGAAAAAAATGTCCCTGGAACCTAATTCCCCCATTTACATTAATTCTTATGGGGAAATTGGATTCGCTTAACACTGTTTCACTTAAAGTCGCATTTTTCAGGAACATAACTACAACATTAAGCGAGGAGTTACTGTACCTCACAAGGCATATTTTGTAGAAAGATTAATTCAATAGTGTGAATACAGAGGTGCTCAGGGTTACACCTACCCATATGTGAACACGTATGCTGACATGCCATATATTTAATTTAAATTCCTTACATAAACTAAGCTAAGGCAATATTAAGGCTGTGCAATTGAGCACCCATTTCAGGGAATGTGGAGGGATTTACTTAGGAGGAAAGATAAAAAGCTACATATGTACAGTTTGATTAAGCCATCTAAGGGAAGGTGGGACATAACCTTACAAATATCAGAAGGTTGTAAATAACAAAGAGAAGAATTAACTATTTAACTTGGTATTAGGGGGTATTAATGAGAAGTAATGGGATCCAATTAAGCTGGCAGCAGAGACTCAGCAAAGAATTAGACTGACTATCCGGAAGCTATTTCTGAGAGCAAGGTTTATTTGATTGTGGAATACTCTCTAGAATGAAGTGATAGAAGCCACTTGCAATCTTAAAAAACTGGATTTATGTATAAATGCTAGAATACTAGAATTTATACATAAATAACAATTCTTCACTAGCAAGCAGTGGACATCTAACAGTGATGGAAAAAGCTTAACTTCTAATTTTTAAGGAAACAAAATGAGTTTTGCTCTAATGTCATTATGTGAATAATTCCCTAAAAGAAAGGAATCAAAATTTTAGGCCAGATATCAGGACAGTCTTTTCTCAGAAGCATTTGGACATTGCAGTATGACTATTAAAGGAAGAGGTCAAGGAATCCTCTCTGAAGATAATCAAGAAGAGATTAGATACTACTGGGAATAATGTTGGGAGTTGTCCTTCAAAATTCAAGTGGTTTCTAATGGCCTTTATTTGCCTCAGTGGCAGAGACTTACATTTTTTCACTTATAAACAGTGCTGACTGTACTCTTATTTTGCAGCAAAGCTTGGAGACACAAAAGAACTAGAAGACTTTATTGCTGATCTTGACAGGACATTAGCAAGTAAGTAGATTCACTTTGTGTGGTACCTTAAAAATGATGGAAGTCAAAGTATTTACAATACAAAATATCAGTGGAGATGGGGTTGGGGGGGGGAGAACAGTATTTTTACATAATTTCCTTTAAAATATTAGAGTTCTTTTTGTGTCTTTTGTTGTGGGAGAAGTAATGGGGTAGAACATGGGGACAGATCTGCCTTTGTCCATGTATTTGTACTTTTAGGTCTCCTTAGTCTCCTTTTCCTGCTACGTAGATGCTCTCATTTCTCTACTCCCCTCCCTCCTTGTATATTTTCCCACTTTTTAGCAGCCAAATTCAACTTGATTTTGACTAGCACTTTCTTACATATAGTATTTTGGGACATAAAACAAACCATATATCATGAAGTTGCTTTGATAGTACACCTATTATGCAAGCAAGAGTTCTTCAAAAACTGATTTAACACAGTGAAAAACAGGCTTGTGTTTCATAGTCCTGTAAGTCTAAATAACTGGCCAGTAACTATGAATGACTGGTATAAATGTAAATATTAGACTGCTATCATTGTCTTTACAAAATGATTATGGAAAGGAAGTCCATACCTTATACTTTAAATAATAAAAAAAAAAAAATACAGTTGATCTAGCCTCCATTAAATACAGACCAAATTTGTCACTACCTGACAATCTGTTATTCAGTTACATTATTCTTTGGCTCTTCATTGGGCTATGGAACAACACTTCTTTTTTTAAATATTGTGTTATATCTATTCCTCTTCTCACAGTTTGCCTGTGCTGTTCATTTGGGCCATGGACTTGTATTCCTTTGCATGCAACCAGAGTGTTGAGCCCCCTGGGGCCTAAATAGGCAGTACAGACAAAGAACGAAAGGTGTAACACAAATTGTTTGTTTGTTGTTTTTAAATCCTTTGTTTCCCCTTCTTTGTATTTTTTAAGCCTTAGTTGATTTCCTTGAGTTTAACTCAAGACAACTTCTTTTATGATCGTAAACTTGTGTTATGATCTGGCTTATTTGTGATTAGCCCTTGCTGTCTTCTCACTTGTATCTTAATTCTGGCCTAGTTTCACTTATTTTAAGTATTTTCTTATTTACTATCTTTTGCAATGGATCCATTCTAGAGCTATTCATTCTTTACCAGTGAGATTAATGCAGTGAAAAAGGCCAACTTCAGTCTTATATTACTATCACATATTTTGAGTTCTACTATATAGTTGGGGTTATGCAACAACCTACACTTACTTGTGCAGATGCCTTTGGATACCTAAGATGCCTTTGGATACATTAGAACAGTGATTTTCTTAAACCTTTACAACTTTACAATCTTTATAACTTTTTGGCTTCTATATATATTTTTTGGCTTTCCCCTCTTTCACGTCAATTAAACAGCAGACAATTTAAGAAACGGGACATCAAATATGACATTTTGTCAGTGAAACGTAATCTTGTTAAGTGTAGCATTCGGGATTTCTCATCTTTCATGTTTACAGGTATGTGAAGCAAAGGGATTTTTGGCATCATCCCTGTCTACAGATAATTCCTTGAAAGATGCAATGAAGACCTAATGATATGGATCACTGAAAGCCGCTGCCATGTCTGACAACTGTCAACTTTGCTATCCAGCATATTCATCTTCTGAACATAACAATAGTCACCTTCTCTAAGCATTTAACTGATGACATCAGTTTTGTTACTTTGCAGCAGGCAGGATCAGATAACTTAAATGTGCTGATACTATATTTTTTTCTTAAAAATATAGCTTAAATTTTAATTTAAAATTGCTTTTATGAAAATATATTTGTAATTTTATATAGTTGGAAACTTTAATGCTTTTAATATATTTTTGTATACAAATAAAACCTGAACTGAAATCTAGCTGTCTAAAATCTCTTTGTGGGTTTAAGAAGATTAATTTATTAAGTTTCAAACTCATCTCAGTTCCCGAGAACATGCATCAGATTTTAAAATGTCTGATAACTTATTTCATGATAGGCAAAATAACAAAATGCAGGCTTTATGCAAAACTTTACATTTTTCTCAATTAAAGGGCCAACGTTGGTTAAATGTGAGTATTACATATTAAATGCCTAGGGAATAGAATCAATTGAGCCAAATGCTGATCTCACACGAGGATAAGTCTGGTATATTTCTACGGACTTCAATACCCCTTAGAGTGTGTGTGTGTGTGTGTGTGTGTGTGTGTGTGTGTGTGTGTAG